GGGAAATAATTTATTTGTTTGGCACCCGAAAAGTGGCATGTTCGTCTTGCCGGCGTCAGGAGACAAAGTCCTCCTCGACCATGTAGAATATCGAGTCCGGCTCGTGCCACCAGCCACGTTTACCTGAGCCCGTCCTGGGGAGCACAAGTGAGCAGGGTGTAGAATGCCACGACCCGAACACTGCCCAATGTCCTTGGTGATACAGGCGATCCCGCAGCTGGATGTTCGGTGAGCGAGATACATGTGTTCAATGATTTGCTATCTAAACACCCCTCTCGCCATGTATGCTCTTAAAGCCGACGCTCATCTGGCAGTGTAGGTGCACGGCATATGCATGTGCTCATACATGTATGTATGTATGTAGGGCGTACATATACTTTATTCCACAATAATCTCTTTCGTGATCTTCTTGGATGATGCTACTATTGGAAAGATAAGCTGTATGATACACGTTTGTTCTTCCTCCGCCCATCTCTGTATTATCCATGGCATGAAAAAAGTCCCTATAGGCATTATTGCCAGAATAGTCGTCCAGATCTAGGCGAAATAATGGGATCTGGTCTGGTGACATCATCGGCAAGGGTGATTATATACGGTGCGCAATCGTAAGATGGGGTTATCAGGGCATAATAGGACCATCTCCGAATACAATTCTCCTGTAGATGACGCGCAATGGGCTCATTACCCGTCGAGTGTGAATCCCCCCAGCCCTTCCTGGTCCATCACGCGCCGTCTTACACGATGGACAATCGTTGAACCGTTTAACATTGCTCCAACGGTGAGAAGCATTTCCAGAGTAGGCAATCCAACTGACCCAAACAGCCCTCCGGGGGACAAGGACCCTGGGCATCCATGGCAAAAGCCCCCAAGTGTGGGCTCGGCTCGAGCAGCCCTCTGAGCTCCTCTGGGAGAATCGTAAACGACGGTTTGGAGTGCCGCAGTATCAGGAGCCGAGGCGAGCTCGACATAGCCGGGGAAATTGGCATGAAGGAACTGACATGTCTGCCCCCGTTACAAAAGACCCTCCAGACTGGAAAAACCAGGCTGTCAACAGAGCCGAGGTAGCGACGACATCTCATGGAGATTGCTGGCCACAATCGCCATCCCATCTGTCTTCCTCTCCTCCGTTAGCGAATCCTTCCTGGCCATGTCGATGACTTGGCAGCCTTGCCTATTGACGATCCGAATCCCCGGGCATTCGGGCCTATGACAAGATAGCCAGCGCCATTCGTCAAAAAAAGAAAGGATGGATTCTGCCGAATCAGGTTCCAACAGTGGCGGAAAAGCGTCGAAAATGAATTATCATTCGGGGCATGCACCCCAGATTCAGTCATTTCGACCGGGTCAGGGGCACGGGGATGGTCGGGTCGAATGGCCCCCTCCCCTCTCCCATGACATACAACCGTCCAGCGCAGCAGGGGGGAAGAAGCAAGCCATTTGTGGGAATTTTGGGTTGCCTTACTCGATGCTTTGAAAGATGGCTCGAAACATCATCGGTCGGCGATTTCACGGCCCACATGATCGCCACGTCGCCCAAGTCCGGGAGGCAGGTCCTGACGTGTTCGAAACTGGTCACCAGGTTCTTGCTGAGGGGGCGAAGGGGCGTCATTTTGGGCAATTGATATGTCTGTTCTCGGTCGCTGCTCCCGATTGCTCCCATCGCCCTGTAATCGGCCAGACAAGAGATTGCACTGCTCTATCGAGATGAGAGGCATGGGAGCTTGCTCACGGAGGCGATGTTGGCCGTCTTTCCGCTGGCCTGGAAAGATGAGCGACCCCCCTTCCCTGGCGGTGACCGGGTGACAAGATGGGGGACGGGGGTTTCGGTGATCTAAGAGGCCTTGTTTAGCCTGGCTCCAAGGTGCAGCAGGACCCGTGAGGATGGTTCCAGGGTCGTCATCCATCCCGTGTAACGTATTGTCTAGGTGCTTGCGCGGAAGACATCCCGCCAGGCCTCGGCATAGACTGGCATATGCCAGGGGGGAGCAGCTTCATCCTCTGCGCGACGTTTGGGGCACGGCTGAGGCACGGTTGGGGGCCACGGCAACACTGTTCTTTTTTTGTTTGATTCGAATTTATCAAATTGATTAATTAATTTCAATCAACAGAGTACGTACTTCTGGGGGGGTATTGGAAATAGACGGCAGACAGGAACCAAAGAGGCACAAACATGCCGCGAGTTGTGCTTTCCAAATACTGAAGACCCAACTTGTAAAAGACAAAGAAAATGTGTAAAGAAACAAACCATAACTAGACAATAAAACCAAAGAACTACAGAAATAGAACTCCAAGCACTTGGAAGGAAGAGAAAACTCTAGACCAAGAAGAGGGACAGACAGAAGAAAAGAAATGACAGATAGAGGCACCAGACTAGATCGTCTGAGTCGTCTTGGTTGAGAATGATGGAGACACTCTCCAGACCCAGGCTAGGTCATCTGGTGATTTTGCAATTGGCTGCATTCATGTTTGATAGAAAGCCCATCGAACCAGGGAATATGTTTGTTGCCAGCTGGGAACGTTCTTGTAGGTGATGCGGGAGGTTTCATCGAACATGATGATACCGGCATAGATACATACATCCTACTAGTCACAGGGAAGAATTGTGCCTAAGATGGTAAGAGTCAATGCAACAATGTTTCCAACCACCCCGTATGGGCTCGCGAGGACCGTTTTGACGTTTCCGAAGCCCACGGTCGACTCAACCTGCTCCCCGTCGAACTTCATCCATTCTCTGAAAGCAAGCCACTGCAAGAGCAAAGCACCAAGCCCAGTGTAGACTTCTGGAGAGAGGAAAAAAGCTTTGAGCATCTTAAGCACTCGATTCTTTGTTGTGACAGGAGGAGGGGCAGCACCGGTGGGAGGAGATTTGGTCGAGGATTTCTTGACCTTTACATGCTTCTTGGTGGGAACGAGCATGCGTCCGGATAGGTGCGAAAACAGGCCGACGGCGAGAGCTGTCCAGAGGATTTCTTGTTCTCTGTCGCTACATTTCCACTCCGTGCATACTTGTCCACAAACCGCAGAAAAGGCTAGAAGATTCTGGCCAACAGCCAAGACGAACTTGAGGGAAGAGAAGCAGCGAGAACCACTGTTGACTGTAGGCGCACGGCGCCCTTTTGTAAATAGAGACGCGAACTCGTCTAGAACCTGGACGAGGGCATGGGTAAAGAACATGGCGTAACTTGTCTCCATCTTCGTGAACTTGGTGAAGCCATTGGGTAGGAAAATGGAGGCGAGAATGATAATAGAGTCTGCCCAGATCATGCGAAGTTGTCGTGCCGCCACGGCATGATCGGACACAGCTCTTGGGTTTGTCTGTGGAAGAGCCTTCTCTGCCTTCACGTCCTTTGACATGTCTTCCACTGGGATCCTGACCTCTTCACCGACAGATATCCACAGAACAGTACGGAGAAAGAGATCGCCAACCAAGAATGCAAATCCAGTGGCGGTGGATAGGGCCTGGCTGGAAAGCCCTGCATGCTTCGCGATAAACTCTCCAGGATAGGGGCCATGAATCATGAAGGCTACGAGGATGGAGCTGAAGCGGAGGTACATCTCGCCCCTCTTGATGGATTGATACCAACCCTCGGCTAGGACTTGCTCTCCGTTCAAGAGGGATCTCCATGCCACCATTCCGAGCTTGATAAGCAGGCACAATGCTGAGACAGACGCAATGCTCTCGGTCCAAGCCCAGACATGCTCACCTGCTCCCATAGAATGCTCAAGAGAGATTGCGTAGAACAATACTTTGAAGATAACAGCAGTAGCTGCCGAAGCTGCCAGGCCAAAGTTGTAGCGAGAAAAAAACACGCTTGTACCTCGGAACAATAGTCCAATTTGGCCCTCAGTGGGCTGATCAACAATTCTTGTGAAGAGAAAGCTCACAATTACGGCCTTGAGAGTGTAAGCGGCAAAGAAGAATAGGCAAGTAACCCGGATCAGGTCCCACATCCGATCTGGTGTCTGGATGATTCTGCCCATGAGATACAAAGTAAAGGAGACTTTGAAACAGACCAGCAAACCAATTTGCAAAAGCTTATTGGCATAGAGGATCTTACTGGTATTTGGTCGGTATCCCAGACACCTCATGACCTTGTGAAAGGAGGTAAAGACGTCTCCGAACTGAGTGGCTGTGTGGATGTATAGGGGAGTCACCATGTGGATGCTGGGCGCCATGATGATGTTAAAGTAGACGGCTGTGCAGATGAGGTGGTGGAGAAACATTTCCATGGACATTTCGTATTGAGGGAGCAACTCGGTGGTCCAGGGGATGACTTGAGAGATGACACAGATGTTACCGGCAGTTGTCATGAGCTGACCAGTCTCCCAGGGCGTCTCTCGAGCCGCGATTAAGCACGACGGCATGGTAACCAGGCCACCAATCAGACCCCGAAGGGTCATCATGATGACTGGATACAAAAGCGTGAATCGGCGGTGGCCCTCCTTGTTTTCTTGATACCATTCTGGTAGGATGCGTTTGATCAGATACTCGATTGCTGGCCAGAGAACCCAGTAGAGGCAGGTCCCGGCCATAAAGCCCCCGAGCACGATCTGATACTGAACTGCATTCTCCATGGCTGTTGAATCCAGAGGAGATGTTTGCAATTCAGAAAAGGAGAGAATTTTGAGACAGAAAGCGCGATTGTGTTGGTGAGTTTGGTGAATTGGTGAGAGAAGTGGCCTCGTATCTGGGATCAGGCCAGACATGCGACTACCTATGATACGGGATTGAGATCATCGGGACACTTGGTCTTTTAAGCTAACTCAAACATCTCGCATCTCGTGAAAAGTACCTTCTCTTTCGGAATCAATTATCTCCGTTAGTCACAACAATCGAGGGAGACATTGGCGGGAAACTCAATCTACGACCCCCCTTGAAAGGGGCAGGACCGTCCTAAGCACCGCGTAAATCGATCTAACCAGACAGATCATTGCTATTCTGGCTCTTTTCTTCTAAAAATTCCATCATCTCCAGGGAAGAAAAGACTGCAGAAACAACCATGTCTGACACTCAAGAGAAAGCCCTATCCGGCCGTATCAACTCCCTCACGAGCCCAGGATGCTACTCTCAGGGGCCGAAGAAGAACTTCTTCATCTGGTCTGCCTTGAACCTGGTCACGCTCACACACGCGTTTGAGTCAACTTGCCTCTGCGTTACTCTTCCGGTAAGCACCACCAGCCTCCTCCATATCATATCTTCCTGGAGACTGACCACCCATCCTGGCATATGTGCAGAAGGTCGCTAGGGAACTCGATGCCTCCTTGTCTGATAGCCTCAGCTTTGGGAGCTGCTTCCTCCTGGCCATGGCCCTGATCCAGCCCTTTGCGAGCGAACTCTCCTCCATCGCTGGCCGGAGACCAGCGCTGCTCCTGGGAATTTTAACCTTCATGGTTGGCGCCGTCATCTGCGGCTGCGCCCATACTCCGGCCATGCTGCTAGTAGGCCGCGCGATTCAAGGCGCCGGTGCGGGAGCTACCGAGCCTATCAAAGCGCTCATCTTCTACGACATCTACGGGCAGAGAGAACGTGCGAAATGGGTCGCGTTCATCAATGTCTCCTGGGCGATTGGCACAGTCTCCGGACCCCTCCTCGGCGGAGTGTTCACTAACAGCAATACGATGACCTGGGTGAGTAGAAGATTTGGCCATTCTTTGGAAAAGGAGACTGAGAAACTGATTTTGAATTTTCACTAGAGATGGGTCTTTTGGATTAACCTTCCCTTCCTCACGTTTAGCTTTGTGGCTGCCGCATGCTTGCTCGGATACGATACACCACAACAAATCCCCTGGGAGCAAATCGCAACAGTGGACTGGGGAGGCCTGTTCCTGTTTGTGGCATCGGGGGCCTCCTTTCTGATACCGCTCACCTGGGCTGGGTCCCGATTCTCTTGGGCCTCGTACCAAGTTATACTGCCGCTTGTACTCGGCGTGCTTGGCTTGGTGTCTCTGGGCTTCTACGAGAGACGAGTTGCGAGCAGACCCATCTTCAAACCATCCGTCTTCCGGGAGCTCTCGACATCCATCTCGTGTGTGAACATTGCCTTGCATGGCCTCCTCATGTGGATGTTGCTTTACTACATGTCCATCTACTATCTTGGCGTCAAGGACTATGACGCTTTCACGACTGGGCTCTGGGGGTTACCCGCCACTCTGACGGTGGCTCCTATGTCCATCATCGTAGGTATCGTTGTAGGGAAGACTGGTCACTACAAGTCTTTCCTGTGGGCTGGGTGGTTGCTGACCATCCTTACCTTTGGGCTCCTGCACCTTCTCAAGGCGAACTCCTCTTATGTTTTCCTGGTCCTCACTACCTTGGTGGTGGGAATCGGCTTCGGATCCCTCGTACCTGGAATGGCGGTGGGAATCCAAGGTAACGTCGACCGTGAGGATGCCGGCCACGCCATCTGCATGACCTTCTTGATGAGGCCGGCAGGGCAGTGCTTGGGCATCGCCGTCGGCCTTGCGGTGTTCACCTCACGCCTGGAGCAGCTCTTGGTGGCCCAAGGGTATCCGGCTGCGCTGGCACAGGGTCTGATGAAGCACGCACGAACAGGGATGGGGCGTGAGAGCGATGAAATCCACCCTTTCCTGCTGAAAGAGATCTCGCGTATCGTTGACTGTGTCATGGAGGCGCTCCAGGGTGTTTGGACTACGGGTGCGGCGATTGCAGGTTTTGCGATGCTTCTCACGCTCTGCATCAAGACCCCCAGGATCAAGAAAGACGACCAGATAAAGGGGCCTCATCCAGGAGGCGGCGTGGAGAGCGCCATCGTCGAGACTCCTCAAGGTCGAGGCGGTGGTGCCCAGACTGATAGGGTTCCCGTTGCAACATAGACAGCATTGGGCGATGATATCTGTAACGACAAGCCTGACAGGCATTCAAATGTATGCGACGGTGGAAAACGCAACCCCGGCCGATTGATTAATGGGGAGACATGGAGAGGCGTAGAGGGGACTGTATCCGATATTGGTGCACATATGGAATTATACAGATATACGGATGGGTGTGTATACAACAGAGTAGTATTTTCAGTTTTCTTTTTCTTTTTGTTAATGATACAGGCACGCAGCTGCCTCTTTTCCCTGCAAAAAACTATGGCAATTAGTTGAATCAATGCTGGCCACCCAAGTTTGAAACCATGCTTGTGTGATGTGCCTCTGCGTGCGGTGTAACTGAGGCATCAATGCTCAGCTGCGATGAGTCAAAGGCAGCGACACGTGCCGTTTCCTAGAGGACGGATGGAAAACCGGTGAGAGGGCATACTGCAGTCCAACGCATGCGTCTTTGGCCATTGAGACAAGAGGCCGCAGAGCGTGGGACAGAAACGTTGGCCGTTGGTTGTCACCTCCATGTACGCACGATTGAATGTATGACTAATTATCGCCCACCCCCTCTCCGGCCAGGCTGTTCTCTCGAACTCTGGGAAAACGAATGGCAGTTATTAATAATATCGATTATCCAAACCTGCAGGGGAGATTGACGGGGCATAGGCGGGTGGAAGTTGGGGGCTGGAGGGTCATGTTGGTTGGGCCTCACCACACCACCTCTATGACGGTGCCTAGATCCCCCATCGAAACAAAGAAAAAAACAAGTTGAACTTGATTTTTTTCAAGACGGTGAGGGAGGGGGTGCGTGTTCACTCTCTGTTTCCTTGGCACGGTGGGAATTGAATGCAAGTCAAGTTTGAGTGCCTGGTCGACACATCATCTATACATACATTACGCACATGTAAGGTAGGTAAATTATACATGTACATGATGGTGTGCGCTGTATGATTAAAGGCTTTATCGCCATCTGAAATTGAAACTAAATCGGGCCCTCGTGACGAACTGGGGGAAAAAAAGAAGAGCAAAAAAAGAAAGGGAGACATCAATGCGGCAAAGGGCTGCACACCACCACCTCATCTCGCATTGTTGTTTTGGTCCCAACTCCTCACTAGAGGAGGGGTATGGGAGGGAACAAGGGCGCGAGATCACCCTTGCAGCAAAAAACAAGCCGTGATTAATTGAAATTTGGTTATCATGTGTGTTGCAACCCGCCACGTTGGTGCTGGCTGGGCTATTCCCCCCCACGCACGCACGCCTATTATTGGACCTGCTTACTCTACTGGGGGTGGGAGGGGAAAGAGGAACCAGATGCGGAATTTATGATATACATGGCAGATGTGATATCGTCTTACAGGATGGGGTTTACGTAGGCCTATGTTTTGTTTGTATGGCTGGGCCACCGTTTGCTACGTTCGCTAGGCGCATGCATGTCATGGGCGTGTATTTTAGCTTCTTGGGCATTTAATCAATTGATCGCAATTAAATCGCATTTAATCATTTTATCTAAAATGCCCCGGTGATGCGTTCTTTTTCTCGGGCGTTTGGGACAAATGTGCCAGAACGGACGTGATGACGTCTAAAAGCTCGGTGATTCATCCCCTCGTCACAATCCTGAATCAAACCCGCCGAGCTCTCATACGCCGCCGAGGCGCCCCAGAGAGCCAACCAGGCTCGCGTGAGTCGGCGCTGGGCAGAATCACTGGGAATAGAATATGAAACAGACGCCCGTCGCTGGCTTACCCGTGTGATTGTGATGTGATGCTATTCTGTGACCCCGCGGGGAGCGGCATTAGGGGGGCCAGCGAATCCAGGTCAACAATAAACGCCGCCCGCGGGGGTTCTTTGGTGGGCTGTACACCACCGCTCTCGGCGCTTACTGGTGGTGACGGATCATGTGAACTGTGCCATGGCGCTTCCTTCGGCCCGTCATTGGGGGCGGGAAGGGGTCTGAGTTGGAATGGGGCCGTCGGCCGTAATGCTAGACTAGACGGCGATTTGACGACTGGTGTGCTTGGATGATGTGTGAGGCTGAAGGTCTCACATTGGTGTTTTGGATGGATGCTCAACTCTCCGACTGCTATTTGTCACACCCTCCGTAGCTAAGCTAAGCTAAACGCCGTGGATGTTGGTAGTTACAGGATGCGCGGAGATCATCACGAGGTTCCCCCCAGTCTCTTGTATTTCCTAGGGTCCTTCCTGCTCATCAGCCGCTGGTCTCGAGTCCCTCTGCCGCCCTCCCAGAATCCCCTCCCCTTCTTGCCAATGACGCTCCGCCCACACATGCCACAGGCCTCGACGGCGTAGTTCTGCTCCCGGCTACACCAGCCGCAAATCATCCGGTTCGCCCACTCGTTGATGTGGTCTTCCGCCCCGTCGTGGCACTTGTCGCAGGCGTGGACGCGGTTGCAGCACGAGAACCGGAACCACCGATATGACTTGCGGTAGTGCTCGCACGCTCCCTTTTGCGGGAGCGGTTCCCCCGCGTGGAGGCCCAGCTTCTCCCGCTTGCGCTGGGGTCCGACCTGGGGCAGGACGCTGCCCGGCGTGACGACGAGGAACCTGACGTCCGGGATGCGAAACGAGAACTTGCCGTGGCACTCGCGGCACACGTTGCTCATCGTCTCGCCGCGGACCGAGACGAGCCCAAATCCGGGGCTCGAGCACTTGGCGCAGGTGGGGATGAAGGTGCTGGGGAGCATGTCCGCCACCTTGCACCCGGATAGGTCGATGAAGCCGGCCCTCGTCGACTGTTCGTGGACGAGCTGGGGCCTGAACTTGGCGACCAATTGGGATGTGCACTTCTTGCACACCAGGGTCTTCTCGATGCCGGGTTTGAGCCCAGTGACTTCGTTGACCGTCTTGCAACGCTCGCATTTGACCGTTATGCCCAGGATCGCCACCTGCAGGAGCTCGATCCCGTACAGCTCTATGGACGGGAAGCTCAGCATCGTGCCGCGCTCAGCGTCATCGTCCGAAGCTGCCGTTGGCTCGACCTGAGGGGGTGGCTGCTGGCCAATCTCCACACCTCCGTCATCCGCATCGTCAGAGTCGAAGTCGTCCGAGTCGGATTCGTTGGGTCCCCGGATGAGGCTCCACTCTGGAGGACGCGGGATGACCTGGATATGGCTCTTGTCGAGATTTGATGCAGCTGCAGCTGCAGGAGTTTCAGATGACTTTGCCTGCGCATCCCGCTGGGCTGCCTGCTCAAGTGACGCCTTGGCTTCTGCGGCCTCCCTGGCTTGCTGTGCTTGCTTTGATAGGTTAGATAGATTCATAGCGAGAAAGTTGACGTGGCTCATCAGGGTCATCTCCTTGTGCGATGCAGCTCTCTGAATAAAAAGCTCTTCCACTCTTTCCGCCTCGTCATCGTCAACCTCGTTCAATTGGATGCGGATATCTTGTAATGGATAAAGGAGAGGCACGATTAAGTGCAAGCTCCTTACTGATCGTAGACCGGCAGTAAGCTCGTTACGTCTTTTAGGCTCTATGGGCAGCGTAAAGACGATCCCATCTGCTGAACGCCGAAACATATTCATCCTCCCCATGCGGGCCTCGAGCTGGCGCACCTCCTGTGCCCTGCGCGTCTTGGCCTCGGCGATCTCATCTCTAGTGTAGGATATCTCCGGCACGTAGGGCTTCAGCTTCGGTTCTGGGGCAGCTACAGGGATCTCTGGCTCCGGTATGGAGGACACAGGCTCTTGCCCACCACCCTGGCTCAGATGTCTGGTGTCCTTTTGGCCCTGGAAGGCCACGAGCTTCACCGTCTCAGCTTTCTCCTCCGACAGGAATTGTTCCAGGTTCTTGTCTAATGCGTTGGTAAGAGCCAGGAGGGTCGAGCTCGTCCTCTCATTGGCCAGTTGCTCCCAGCCTCTCTCAATGTTAATGCTGAATCCCCGAGGAATGTCCTTGTTCCGGACCAAGAGAACAGGTCTCTGTTTCGGATAGTTTTTGGGCACTCGAAGTTCACAGTCCAGGTAAGCCAGCTCAAACGGGAAATCCGGATCTGACGGGTGAAGCTTGAATTGGAATGAGGTTGAGCCGTCCGGGGCGGTCGACTCGGTGGGTGAAAACCGCTTCCTCAGCTGATCGATCTGATACTGGCGGGGATCTCGAGACTGAGACTGCGGGACGGGCTTGGAGACGACCCGGGATTGTGGGGTTTCTGCTACAGCTTGCTGGTGGGAATGCGTAGAGCCCCCGGAGCTTGGATTTATTGAGATCATGGTCCGGGTGATATTAGAGTCAAGAAATGTGGTGAGGTCAGTGTGCTCCAGCTTGGTAGTTGGTTTCGTTGATATGGGCTGATATGGCCAACGGATATTAATACACTGCCGTTGTTTCAGACAAAACGAGAGTAAAAGAAGGCGATTTGAATGACCTATAATTTACTCATCGAGAGGCGCCTCAACGGCGGTTCATATACTTGGAAAATGCACTGTGGCGACAAGAGAAGGCTGGAGATGTCAACGGAATAACTGGAGGTTATTGGCAATGCGGATGGCAGCTACAATGAGCGATGGTGAGTTATGAAAGTATTCCAGTAACATATTCAAGTGTAGATTGGTAGAGACTGCGATAGTGCGTTACTAATAGGTGTCCCCACATTCCGCGCACCTAATCTGGGGAAAGGGCCGCTAGCTTTTTAGAAGGTCGAGTCAGTATGAGTCTTACCTCGTCATTGTGAGGGCGATGGAACAGCAGCCACTCTGTATTCGGGACTGATTTCTCACCCATTTCTACGGATGAAGTCGTGCAATTGAACTACCTAATTATACTAGATTCCCTAAAGAGTCTTCAGTTATGGCCGGCAGCCAAATCAGGACAGTATCCCGCAGTGATCTACAGAACGGCAAGCTAGTTGCGCATACACCACTGAATAATCCCATGGAGCTTGCATCCAATGTTAAATTTAGACACCGTAGTCATGTGCGGATGTACACATACGCCGTACGCCTTATATTTCCCCTTTCCTCTGCGACCGGCGGCTAAATGTGGTGGGATGGCTCGGTATTGGCAATCGGACTTAATGCGGATCTGACATACATGCATCCTCTATACTATGTCAAGCAAGAGCTTGCGAAGCCACAGCAGAGTCCATCCATTGTACTGGATCCTTTGATCAATGAAGGTGGCAAACTATCTACCTGTCCACGTTCAGACGACAACATCCCCTCCCTCCCTCGAGCTGAGGGGGTGAGGATAGAATGGCTGGGCACGAATACTCACAGCCAGGGTCCCCCCTAAAAAATAGGCTATTTTGCTGCTGGCCGGTGATAGCAATTGCAGGCGGCTGATGAAGCGAGGTGAGAGAGTCACTTGCTGCCCATTGTTGCTGCCGTTATTGGCAGCGACGGCCTCACCCCACGTCCATATGTCCATAGGGAGGGCGGCCGAGGTCGACCGGCCGGCCGGGGGGCCTCCTCAGCTGGCCTCGTGTGCTGTGCTGGCCGTGGTGTGCGCTGTCATCTCCCTGTGGTCACCGTCTCCCGTGATTCAGGTGCCCAGCATACAGGCGCCCGATGCCCTGATCTTGAGGTCATCTCCAGCGCCAGAGGAAGGGCCAGGCATTCATTCCACCCGCTTCACCGACCAGAGACACGAGACGGATGGCGTGCCCTTGGGGGGTCAGGTCATCTGCACCCGGCAGCGAATCACCCAGGACGGCTGCGACATGCATTACGCTGCAAATGCTCACAAACCAGGCACCCAACCCGTCCGCATGTGGTGGGAGATTGGATCCCAATCGCCGGCTCTCACGGTCGCAGGCAAAGGCCCAGGCCAGGCTGCAGCGGGCCATTCCATGAAGGTAAGCCGCACCGAACACTACTGCAGCAGTGCATCTCTCGCGGCACATTAGCCTGGCGACAGCTCAGCCACGCAAGGATGGAGAATGGAGAGTCGGTAGGGTTCAGCGCTGTACCTACGTCTCATCCACATGCATCGCAACCCGCCATCGATTGACCGGTCGCTGGGATTGATTTCGAATCTGGCCATCCGAGCGAGTGTGCCCCAACAAAAAGTCATCTTGCCTCAGTCGAGGGTTTGCGTGAACTGCAACCTCCCTACTGACCTCAGCTACCTGCAGCACGCACTCTGCAAAGCTTCACGCGCTGTGGGTGGCAGGTAGATAAGGCGCACTCCATCATTCGGCAGGGCCGCCCAGATCTTGATAAACTCTCCATGGTGGTGGGTGTGTGTGTGGCCCCAAACGGAGGAGGCGATGGGCGCGGCATCCCAGGAGACAAGTGTGTAGGGCTCTTGGTTGCATGGAGAAAACGGAGCGGCGCCGGAACTGAGGGCATATATTGCCGATTTGTCTCGTGGATGGTAAGAAATGAGGGCTGCCACCGTCGGTTGGGCAGGTGGGTGGGCTCGACCACCAGCAGCACCGTCTCGAATTGCCAACTCATCAGCAGTCATCTATCTGGCAGATGACCGTCCGTGGGGATGGCGACGATGGGCCAAACGATGCGATGCTGCTGCAGGCCGGCCGCCGCGCCCCCTCCCACATGCTCGCACCCCCCCAGGACCCCTCAGGCGGTGAGGTGAGTCGAGGTGAGTTGGGAGACGAAGTAGAGGTTGTTTTTGCCAATAATTCAAGTACCCAAGCTTTACGTGCATTTGTCGACACCACACCCACGTCCGCGGCAAGGTTGTGCAGGGAGGTGAGGGGCAGCCATCTGCGATCAGAAGCCGTTCGTTGATTTGCATGCCAGGAATAAATATATTTATTTTATTTATTCATTTATTTATTAAATGGGTTTATTTGTTTATAGCAACACACCCATACTCCCCAAGAATTAATCGAAAGTATTTCTTTTTTTCATTGTTTATTTTACTTTGGCTTTGTTTACTCGGGGTATTTTCTCCAGCTCACATGCACTACGTTCGGGATATTGGTTTCCTCGCCTGGGTTTATTGTGTCTGTGCACGCATCAATGCCGTAGATAATATTGAAGACAATGAAGTGGACAGAATAGTTTTATCACCGTCCCAGATCCCAGGTCCGTATACAAGACGGAATGTGTCTGTCTACCTACCTCAAAATCAAGAGTCAACATCAAGCACCAAACGGCCTCCTCCAGACATAACCAGCGCAATGATGCAATTGCATGTGGTTTCCTGCAAGCTCTAGATGTGCCGCTCTGCTACCTCTCCCTCCCTCGAGATCCACCCCCAAAACGGTGACAAAAACCGCCGTGGCTACCTAAAGCAGACCTGCAATGCAGTCCGGATGGGCATCAAGGGTGCCGGCAGCAGGGCATCTCTAATCACGATACAGGGAGGCTCACCCATGAGTCAGGGCGAGGCGCACCGCCATAATCATCGTCAGCACACACTCCGACTCCCTTTCTCACCCACTTACACACCTGCGCCGCAGTCGCAAGAACCCCCTGATTGTGGAAGAGGGCGCCCTCTCGTACGTTTTTTCGACTCTGCGAAAGCCGGTATTATTAAGAATATCATCATCCGGGGACCCGCGAAAATCCTTGCTTACAGCGAGAATCTGGAGAAAAGCATTGGTCTGGAGTCTGGTCAGGTGCTCATCTTCCTTCTTTGCAACTGAAACGCTATGACGCCGCCGTCATCAACACCGTTGCGTCGTCCCCCCCAATGTGAATGTGGCCGGGACTCAAGCAAGAGATAGGGGCAATCCAACACCCGAAAAGTCGCCAAATCCCCATCATCCAGCACCCGGCCGGGGGGTTTGGGGAGTCTGCATCTGTAGAATGCCTGCAGAAAACCCCATCGATCGAATCGGAGCATCGACCCAATTCATCCTCTGATGTCACTCGGCGTCGCAGGTCCCCAGCCACTTACTGTCCGCATGGCCCCCCCAATGTAGGTCCTTGGGGAGATGATTTTCGCTCAAACGCTGCATTGGGATTCACCCAGAGCGAATCAACCCCCGAAAAATTAAGAGTCTCTTGCATAGTCACCGCGTCCTTGGTCCCTGGCCCAGCACGCCCTCAATCTCATCCCGCAGCTCTGGTGAAGGAGGGGGGCGTGTTGGTCCCAACATCCTGCTCAGATGCCACTTTCGTTAGCCTTGCCGCGATTGAGACAAGATGTTCGCGAGAGAAGAGATGAGTTTTACGAGGAGGAGCGTGTCTCTAAGAAGAACCTCCCACGCGGCCGAAGGTCAAACGTGCCCTCCCACCCAAGATCCCCCACACTACGGTGCCGACCAGCGCAGCAACAGCTCAGAGGCAGCCCGTAGGCTCCCATGAACCGAGCGGCCGGGTCCTGGGAAGGCAGACACGCTTCCCAGGCGCGTGGTTTGGCCTGCATCAAAAGCACATCAACAAACCACGCAGTCGATCCTTCTCGATGTCATACACTGGGGGGCAGCTCGGTCACGAGAGTTGATATTTGATATCCAACATGTCGCCCTTGACGTCATGACAAATGACGGGCAGGCAAAGTGTAAAAAGAGAGTCGTCTGTCTCTCAAATGTCAGCAGCCTAAGCGGCGGGCACGTATTTGGGCCCGGAGCATTTATTCGTCGGGGATTTTGCATCAGCTCACGCCCCATGTCTCAAAGCAAGCGCCATGTCACGTTTTGTGAGACAGAAGAGACAACACTCTTTCTCATCCCCGTATTGTTCGCGTTTTTGTCTCAAGCGTGGCCGTCAAATCATGGCCCTATTTTGAGCTCTCTCGAGGACCTAGGGATCGTAAGCCTGTAATATGGGCACATGGCCTGAACAATATCGTGAACAGACACTTGATCGTCTGATTGGCTGCTCGCATTTGTCGGATCGCATTACGTTGCCAGCCAACGCCAGCCGTGAAGCTAAGGTAATTTGGCCTAGTTCCAGGGCGCCGTACTTTGAGTAACAGCCATTGAGGAAAGGTTCAATTTAGAATTAGATATCGTGCACAGGTTTGTTCAGAAAGGGAAAACGACGGGTAGGGTTACCGGCGGATCGTGAAGGGGCACTGCCTCAGGACTGCGCAGACTCTCGCTTTCAATCCGACAGTAAACTTCATGTTGCGTAGATGGCCTCGATAGCAGAATGTATAAAGCCAAACATGAGTTGCCTCAAATTCTCACAGAGAAGAAGTCATAGCAATCGTATTCAACGTTCTCCGTGATCAACTTCCGCCAATTGCAAAGAAAACGCCAGTCTATTTATTAGCCCCTTTTCCGAAACCATCATTCCAAAATGGCCGATGAAGTTTGGATGTATAACGCATCTCTTCCCCTGGCTTGCGTCGGGGCCGTGGTCTATGGAATCATCTTCCTTGGGATCACATACTTGACAACAATGAAATATCGGGCTTGGTACTTCCTCCCTGTTGTAATCGGCGCGGCCATCGAGGTAGTCGCTTATATCATGCGAGCGTACTCGATCAAGAACTCCACCATGATTGTAAGTCTCCCAACGTCTCTCTCCAAAATGTTATTATGAAGCTAACTTGGCAATGGTGGCAGGCCCCTTTTGTCATTACTCTGACATTTACCGTCCTCGCGCCCGTCTTCATTGCTGCAGGAAACTATATGCTCATCAGTCGACTTATCCTCGCTGTGCTACCCCCTTCGAAGCAACGCGTTCTTAAAATCCCTGGACGCCGGCTCACTCCTATTTTCGTTGTATGCGATATCATCGCTTTCCTCGTCCAGGGCAGTGGTTCCAGTATTGCGAGTTCCAACAATTGGCAGGGGAACACAGAGCGTATCGGTCGATACGTTCTCATTGGCGGTCTTGCCTTCCAGCTTGTAGCTTTCTCGCTATTTCTGTGCGTCCTGGGCCGCTTCCACGTCCTAGCCAACAGGCATAGGGTGAGAGATGCACCTAAAGGCTGGGCAAAGCTTGTCGTGGCTGTCTATATCTCATCCGTCTTGATCATGGTAAGACATCTTTCTCTGCTCTTGTTTGAGCCATTATCCAGTAAAATTTGAATATTCACTGACCTCACGGAAGATCCGATGCATTTTCCGGGTTGCCGAGTTCGCAGAAGGTATGAATGGCTACGCCTTCCGTCATGAGTGGCTTTTTTGGGTCTTCGAGGCCCTCCCCATGGCTCCAGCTATTGCCATCTTCTGCTTTTACCACCCAAGCAAATATCTGGGGCGGTTCGGCACCTGGAGACTTCGTCGCGTCCACAAGACGGAGGGATCGGCTGAAACGATCTAAGACAGACCCATTGAGGTTCAAAGAATTCCATCTGTGAAATTTGTGGTGAAGGAAGGCCGGAGGAGTTCAGAAGGTCGCGCTAGATGGGTTCGAACCAGAGAATAGAGTGCCGTCAATGGTTGGGTTGGGGGTAAATACTAGAGTTGCAGTATTTCCATCATGTGATTATCATTTTCGGGTGGGTAGAATTAGTCAAGAAGAAGCCATCAACTCTCGACTTCCTGCACAGATCCATGATATTGGCTGCTTGGGAGATTAGCTTTCCCATGATGTAGAAGAAACGGTTTCCAAATCTCGTCGTCTGAATCAAATGAGAAGGTGAGGCCCTGAGAGAACCTCTGTATCCATTCTGCATAGACTCGATACTCCTCTGGAAGTTCGCTCAGCATCTGGCCGATCCATGCCACAGACATGTTTTTCCGGCAGTCGTATCCCTTTTGATAAGCTTCACTCGAACCCAGCCGGCTTCCATCCTGCACATCTTTCCGGCTCATGACAAAGTCCAAGGTGAGCATATGCATGATAGTGAGCCGAGAAGCATAATTCTGGGGTTCAATAAACGAAGAAAAGTCTTCCATACTCAGCTCGCCGAGCCTTTCATAAAGAAATGTATGTTCATGATAGCCTATTGTAAGTAGGTCAGTCATTGATGGTGTGGGTGAGACAGGACATCAAGTAGATCTCACTCTCGGCCGGGTTAGTGACGGCGAAATTAGCTATTCTCTGCATCATTGCCAAATACTGTAGCTCTGGGACGCTACGGCATATTGGGGCCAGCCGTTTCAAGCTGTCACAGAATTCCTCTGCAACGGCTGCATCCAGTGATTCGGCCTCTCCGCTACTCCCGATGAGCTTGCGCAGTTTCTCGACATAGGTGGCTCTGGCGAATGTTTTGAAAGCCGAGTCTTCAAAGTTAGGAAGCAAAGTGTTTCCGACGACAAAGCCTTTCCTGCTCTGTAAGCCTTAGTCACCAAAATAGTAGAAATGATCGAGACTCACAACCACGGACTAATGTCAAGAAATCCGTTAACCCATCGGCCATGTACGCTGCCTGAAAGGTCAGATTCAACATGGCAGCAAATGCGGCATCTGCATCAGCCCTTGTGTATTTAGGTTTTTTCATGTGTTCATTCAACGCAGTCATGGCCGTGACTCGATGGCGAAGAGCCGCCTGTTCGTAATCAGCTCCGGAGAGAACAGCAAGATGTGACGCTCCAAGTCCCAGCATAGAGTGGGCAAGAAAAACGTACTATCAGTCAAGTCAGTGTTGTTAAACTATTGTAATCGGGCGATTTTACTCTTCATACTCACACCATGTGACATCTGGCCGACATGTTGCCAAACATGCCACCCTTCAATAGGAAGGGGAGGATACGCATGGAAGAGGAAATTCTGAAAGAACTTCAAGTCATCAATTCCGAACGTGGGCGCGTTCGTGTGTATCTGCCGTTGGACAACTTCCCTCGGCTCACCGACAACCTGTGATACGCTCGCAGGAGCAGTCGTGTATTGACAACTGAGGCCAAGCCGTGAGCATTGCCCGCATTGCGGCAAGCCCTCGTCGCACTTGACCTTACGCTTCTTACAGACGATGCATCCAGCCCTGGACTTTCGATGTCCCTTTCGAGGTATCGGACGACGCCTCACTATGGTTATCTGCGGATCCGAATCAGCCGGAGATGTGCCCTGCGACGGCTCCATGGTCCATCTGTGACCTATAGGGTCACAACTTGACTCGCATATGTGTGTTCTGTTAAAGTCCTAGGAAATTGTTCTTAGACTCATTGCTCAAGAGAAGGCTGACATCGTATATGCATGTCAATGATACTGTCTACATTAGCAGAAAGGTGTGTGGGGCTCTGTCCAGCCAGGCAACCGGATCCATCCGCCTCCCTACCCTATATCCTATCTTCTCATATCGCTGGGTTTAGATCTAGTAAAATTGCAAATCTACGTCTAGTTTCCTAGCTATGATTGTGGCTTCACGGAATTATATGGACTCTCTGAGTGCGATCGAAAGCTATTTAACACATATCAGGGGTAAGACTCTCACTAGTTCGGGCATATTCACTCAACACCACAAAGTAGTTATGTGCATGTTCACGTAAGATATTAACACTAGTAGCGCAATATATATCTGACAGGGAAGGTATTTTCTCTTTTTGTTCCACCCAATCTATACATTAGATGTCTAAAAATCGTTTTCATCTGCGCCAGAGACAATGACATTATTCACCTTCAATACCATGCGACACAACTGGGTAGCGAGCTGGAGCTGCTGCTTCTTGCTGATGAGAGGGTCAATGACAAAGGCATCCTTCATGTCGTTGCTTCCACGCCCCATGCAGTCAACACCCAGCTGTCCACGTCCATCAGGGCCGGCCTTGACCTGCTGGCTCTTCACCTCGGCCAGCGTCGAGATGGGGTTGAGACCACTGTTCTCGGCAAGGGCCATGGGAACGCAGTCGAGAGCGTCCGAGAAAGCCCTCATGGCGTACTGCTCAAGGCCTGGGGTCTTTGCAGCGGCATCCTCAACTGCCAGAGCGCAGGCAATCTCTGCAGCACCACCACCGTACACAACACGGTTGTCACGGACCAGGTTACGCACAACACACAGAGCGTCGTGTAGGGATCGCTTGGCCTCGTCAATGATCTAGTAGTAGTGTTAGTTATACGTTCACCCAATTTCAACTTGTAGCCCAACTTACCATCTTGTTGCTGCCACGAACGAAAACGGTCACGGCACGGGTGTTGGCACACTCTTCGATAACCAACATCTTTTCCCTCGTTGTACCGAAGGTCATTTCCCGTACCTTACCAGCACGACCAAGCTTCTCCGCAGACAAGTCCTCGAAGCGAGGTACTATTCTACCGTTGGTCGCAATGGCAATGAGCTCGATCTCGGGGCCACCAACCCATCGGACGGCGGGGAGGTTGTTCTGGAGAAGAAGGTGGTTTGCTTCATCATCGAAACCCCATTGGCAGATGGCCAAGTTTGCACCAGTGTCCTTGATCTGCTGGATCATTTCGATAAACTTCTCCCTCTCGTAGTTTTGTAGCTTCTTGAACTCCTCCACGCTGGAAATCTCGAGCTTATGCTTCGTCTTGGGCTTGGGGGGCTCGAATGCGCACGTCAAGATCGCAATCTTGGCGTCAGTGACCTCGGAAGGCATCTGGGGGTGGGAGAAGTCCTTGTCGACAATGACACCCTTGACGAGAAGGGTATCTTCCAGAGCACCACCGACCTTGCCATCTACCTTGATAAGCTCAAAATCGACATCCTTGCGCTCGAGGTCGGCAACTGAGAGGACTGCATCGACAGCAATATTGGCAAACTGATCGTGAGCTTTCGATACAATCTTGCTGCCTAAACTCGTTCTTGCGACCTTGACGAGATTCTCTGTTTCCTCCTTTGAAAAATTAATGACGTCGGAGATTCGGTCAAGCTCGGCAACGGCGATATCGCAAGCCTGGTCGTAGCCGTCAGCAATTCGAATAGGGTGAATGCCCTTGTCGATGAGATCGGCAGCCTGCTCGAGAAGGGCACCAGCCAGCACGACAACACCAGTAGTACCATCACCGATCTCGTCATCCTGTGACTTGGACAGCTCAACAAGAAGCTTAGCGACATGGTTGCTGATCTCCATCTGTTGTAGAATCGTAGCTCCGTCGTTCGTAATGGTAATGTCGCCGTCGGGGGATATCAGGATCTTATCGAGTCCTCGGGGGCCGAGAGAAGTCTTGACAATGTTCGCAACCGTGCGTGCGGCGAGAATATGGGACTTGACAGCTTCATTGCCGAATTGGCGTCTCTTCTTCCCTTGGCTATGAGTTGGTCAGCGAGATAGGAGTCGATCGTGCGGGCGGGCAGACGTACTCTCTGACAACGATGAAGGGGCGACCCTGCTCGTCCTTCAGCATCGTCGCTGCAAGTAAAGGTTAGATCCGTTCGCTTCCCAACTCTCATGTATGCGTATCTCGTACCGTTGGAAACATCCAGATCTACTCCCAGGTTAGCTACCCTGTCGACTGCCCCGCCAAACAAAAATAATAAGGAGGGCCAAACTCACTGAGAGCCATCTTGGCTGCTGGTAGAACAAGATGCTCTACCTCTGAAAATTAACAAAAATATGGGATCCTGCGATGGGAGACCAAAAACTCCAAATCGCTGTGTGGAGGAGCTCAAACTTCGGGGGGAGGTCGTCGCTGGTGGCCTGGAATTTTTTGGAATATCACCGACTGGAACCTCCTTGAATGCGGCACGCGGTGAAAGAAAAAGTCCGTGGGCGGTGGTACTTTAGTGGGATCGCACCTAACTTCTAAGCAGCGGTGGCACTAGAAGGAACAGTTGATGGACAAGGGTGGTAAAGTACCAATCTGTGCCCCGCCATGAGCTCTCCTGCCCCGCCATTGTTTGGTGCATTATCTCACGTATCAGAGAGCTGTTTGATGCCACCGTGCCCCTCAGTTAGAGGCCAGGCGGTTTACAACGCAAATAAAAGCTTCTCCCACACCAAATTTTTTAGGCTGCGACAAGACATCGGGCGCCGGCGTCTTACATTTTATTATCGCACTTTTAGAAGTAATTTTGGCGCTGGTCTGTTTCCATTCAGAAAGAGTTAACGGTTGATTACCGAGTGACTCAACCTTGCCGGTGAAGTACGTCACTGAATCTGCTTATATCTGGGCCTATCGCCATCCTAACCACACCAAAAATCTCCAGGCCTTCAATCCTGCGAAATCCTCTTGCCGCTCTCCCGATCGTTCCAAGAAATCAGCCGCCGACATGCCGCCAAATAAGTACGACTACGATGACGACGATGTCGGCTCCGACTATGGCGAGGATTATGGCGAAGACGAGGAGCTGAGCCCCGAGGACCAGGCTGCCATGGAACATGGCACTGCTGAAGTGCGCGCAGCCCTGGGGAAAAATGCGTCAAAAATCACACTCAAGCAAATACAAGATGCACTATGGAATTACTACTACGATGTAGACAAATCTGTTGCATTCTTAAACAAGACTTATCTTGCCACCGCACCAAAGCCTACTCCGGCAGCAGCGCCGAAGAAGAAAACTCCTGAAGGTATGTGCGAAGACTTCTCTTTTTCTGCTGCGCATTGTCTGTTCGGGGGTGTCTGTGGGGCAGAGCATCAGCGTTTGGCAGGAGTTGGGAACGGAGTGGAAGATATTGGACTTGATCCAGTCTTGGCAGGGTCTTTTCCGATTTCCAGAAAGATTGAGTTGAACCCGGGCGCGTACTTCGATGATATGCCATGGTTGAATACGCCGCAAGATCGCCAAGCCATATTCATCCAACCTTGGCGGCCGCAAGGTGGGCTTCTGGGAGGTTCCGAAGGGACCGCCGGCATGAGCAAACTCCAGAAACTAGCTGCAGCCAGAAAGAAGAAAAATGAGGAGAAAAAGGAGCAAGAACGAACGAAACAGACAGAAAAAGACATTGAGAAGTTGTCATTGTCCGATAAACCACTGGAGGATCAAATGTCGGTCCCTCCTCTTGCCAAACGCCAAAAACTTGTGCCTCCGTCCGAAGAAGAGCCTGGTCACACAGCCTCCATACAGCCTGTCAAGTCTGATGGAACGGATGAAATTGCTGGGAAAGCCACAGAACCGGAAGACCAGGAAGATGTACTCACTGGTACTGTTGATGCTGCTGCTGTTGTGGATAAGGCCGCCCCTTCGGCCTTTGCTCGAACGCTGTTTGGCTCTGCTCCTGGGAAGCGTCCGTCGCGGGATGTGTTCCCCATGCCATACACATCATCGTCTTCATACTCCTCCGAAACGTTTTCAGAACCTAGCCCCGATGATATTGTGTTTGCAGCTCAAGCCAAAGGTTCGCGTTTTGCTAAGGCACAGTAATGGGCTAATTCTAATTCTCTTTCAGCTGGAAAGAAGGCCCCGGGCCCTTCAAAGACCTCTAAGAAAGACGCCAAAGAAGGAGAAAACGGTCGAAAAGAGGATCTGTCAGACAGCGTCTCAAGTCTGAAAATCAGCGAGGCCCCTCCGCCTAAGAACAAGGGGCTGGATGTTGTAAAGGAGTTTGAGAAGAGTTCAAATAAAAGAAGTATTAGTTTCGTGGTAGTTGGTAAGTGCCACGTCCTCTTATGGTACTGTCTTAGTACAATGTGCTCATGATTTCTAGGACATGTTGATGCGGGCAAGAGCACACTCATGGGACGCCTCCTGCTGGAACTGAAGCATGTCGAGCAAAGAACAGTGGATAAATACCGAAGACAGGCCGAGAAGACTGGGAAGCAGTCCTTTGCCCTTGCCTGGGTGATGGACCAAAGAGCGGAGGAACGAGATCGCGGTGTCACGATTGACATCGCCACAAATTTCTTCGAGACGGAGCAAACCAAATTCACCATCCTGGATGCACCAGGCCATCGAGATTTTGTGCCCAATATGATTGCTGGAGCAAGTCAGGCCGATTTTGCCATCCTGGTCATTGATGCAAACACTGGTGCATACGAAAAGGGTCTGAAAGGGCAGACAAAAGAGCATGTGTTGCTTCTACGCAGCATTGGTGTTCAGCGGATAGTGGTGGCGGTCAACAAGCTGGACATGGTAGAATGGTCAAAGGGCAGATTTGATGCGATTATCCAAGAGGTGTCTGGTTTCCTCACTGGATTGGGAT